AGAGCTAAGGGATGATATGATGAGGAGGGATGCTCTGATGTTGGGAACTGAATAATCCCTGTGCTGACAGTGCCACTGCCAACCTCCCTGCATCTCTGAGATAGGAGGAAGCCAGGAGAGGTGTCCCAAGGGAGAGAGGGGTATCTAGGGCACAAAAAAAGTCATGCATATCCCTAGGGAAGCTGTCAGAATGGCTCCTGGCAGGAGCTGGCTCCGTGCCGCCTGTGATATTGGACCTCAGAGCCTTGTGCTGGGAGCAGGCTGTGGGTGCAGGCAGAGTGGGCATCCATCTGCTGCAGCATTGTGACAGCCAGTGAATCACAGTCCACCCAGGGAGTCTGTGCTGCCACTGAAACCAAATAGCTGGGCAGAGTGCCTGGTGCAGCCAGGACTCCAGAGAGACAGCTGGGAAATGGCTGTGTGTCAGCTCTCTTGACATTTGCTGTCAAATGTCAAAGTGTGCCTGTGCAAGCCTTGTCCTTCCACAGCAGCACCTGCACCAATGTGAAGTGTGTGCTGCTTACCAGGGCTTGTCAGCAGATCGGTGCTGGTGCTGGGAGCTGGCTCCAAGCAGCCATTTCCCAGAGACAGCAGAGACCCGATGCTTCAGCAGTGAAGTGTGCTGTCATCACGGTCTGTATCCTCAAAATGATGCTTGACAAGTGGTTGTGTTGTAGCAACATTCAAAATATAGCCAAGCCTTATGGGGAGACATGATCAAGCATTATGATCAGCTACAAAGCAGTAACAAGGGCAGGTAGGCACTGGGGGACCAGCTTTTTCCCCATAGTGCTGGGGGGGAGACAGGATAAATAGGGGCTCCTGCTGCTACATGTACCATCAATGGTGTGCAAGATTGAAAATGGGGCGTGAATACTGCCCCAGCTGTTGAACACCACTTTCAGCGTGTGTGTGTGCTAGGCACAGAGCCAGAGTCTGCTGTTACCCGCGGTGGCTCTTCAACAATGTAATCTTGGGAATGCCTGATGTAAAAGATCTCGTCCCAGGAACCACGATGAGGACAGACTCATTCCTTTCAGCGGCTTGTAGCCAGAGGCTTGTAAGACAGAGGAGTCACTGAAAGGAGAGTAAAGGGTGATATAGGCATTAGGTAGACTATAGGTAGGGGGGAGTATAGGGTTCCACCATAGTCCAGCTAGATGTGGTCCAAGTGGTCCAGATGACCCCTCTACTTAGAGCCTAATCCTGGGTGAAACATCCCTGCAGAAGCAGACATAAGGGTCAGTGTGCCCCTCATGTAGGTCTCATGATGATCGCTGGTAGAGTTTACTAGAAGGCTTGTCTGTTTGCCAGTACTGATGTTAGCATTAACTTTTACATCACTGGGTGTTTACTGTAAATACTAGGTCCATTTCCATCTTTGTTTTTTTTCGTGCCAGCATCATCCTGTGTTTGTGAGAAGCACTACCATGCGTGGGAGGAAAGTACCTCTTTTGATCATTTTTTTTAGCATCTTTTAATTGCTATTCTTAAACCATGAAGCTGAAAGAACAGAAGTTCCTGATCTTTCTGTGGAGCTGTCTCATTGCTTACACTGTTGTTCTAACTTCACTTATCCCATATTTCCCAATTTCCCTTCTGGGCTCCCATGTTTCTTTGCAGCTCTGCTCCAAATCCATTATCATCCCATAGTCACAAATGGCGGGGTAAGGTAGGCAAAGACAGATATTATGAATGCTACTTTCTGGAGTCTGAAGGTCAGTGGTGGCAGCAGACCCAGGGTCCTGGAGTCTGGAGCAGGATCACAGTATGTGGTGTCAGGGTGCTGTGAGCCCTGAGGATGCCTGGGTGAGAAATGGGATGTGGATTGCTGACCAAGGGTGCTTGCGCCAGGGTTGTCAGAACAACTGGTGGATCTATGAGAGGACAAGGTCATTTTTTAATCCCTCAGGATCATCCTGGATCACTGTTGTCTTTTGTGGTTTCTCCCTCTCCTTGCTGCCTTAGCTGCCCTCCCATGCACTTCTCTGAGCTGGCTTCTCTGATGTGTGAGGGGAAGGCATTAGGGAAAACACCTCCAGACTGTTCCAGAGGCGATTGCAGGTTGGACCTCTGGGTTAGATGGGGAAGGAGGAATGAATATGTTCTCTGCTCTCCCATATCAAATGCTGGTGAACATCTTCCTCCAGCTTTATAACAACCTGCTATTTACTGAACACTGAGGGAGTGGAGCTCTTAGTGCCCTGCCTGTACGGCTCCTGGGACTGTGGGCTGTGGCAGTCGTATTGTTGTGAAGTGCAGCAGGTAATAAGATAAGCAGATAAGCGCCACAGATAATGTGGCAGAGCGTTAGAGAACTGTGAACCGGGCATGCCGGACCATAAGAGGAACCAGTTTAAGCTCAGGCTTAACCGTCGGCAAAAGGTCAGCAGAAGGCAGTGTGCTGTATGGGACCTATTTAACCATCACCAGTGGCTCCCCGTGGCCTCACTGAAGTCATCTGCTCCTTTTCACATGAGAGGCCCTTGTATGCATAAGTAGTTGCATACTTTGGCATGTTCCCCTGGCATTAAAAAGAGTTCAGGACCTCATGGGGGTTCCTGGATTTTGCAGAAGAGTGGTTGTTGCTGCTTTCCTGATTCAGTCTGTTCCTGCTTTCCAGTCTCAGCCTGGACATGTGTCTCTCTAACGTTGCAAGGTCTGGCAGTGCCGTTCAGTGTTTGTTTCTTAAAGGAAAGTTCAAGGTACCTAAAGACAGGCAAAGGTATTGAACCCAGTGTGAGAAGGTAGACTGCTCTCATCAGAGTGCAGCACTTCATTTCAGACCCTGTGCTGTCTGCATGTTTTTCTGTGAGGGTACAGTGCCATCCACAGTGAGGTCTTCATTTGGCCCAAAGCCTGTGCAGCCCTTTGGCTACTTGAGTGAAATCAGTAGCTCACTTCAGGTGAGTTTGAGAGGGGTCAGTTGGAAGCACAAGTGTTGTCCCAGGAGTCTGCAGGGAGGGGGACATGTCTGTCTTACATTGTAATGGTTTCCCTGAAGAAGGACAGCTCAGGACCCTGTGCTTGGATACTTGCGGTGACAAGGACCAGTCTGTTTGGTCCTTGTCAGCACATGAAGTCTTCAGTCAAACCAAGGATGCTTCAAATAGTCACTGCCTTTCCTGAGAGGTGACTTCCTTTGTGTTTTTGTCTCTCTCTAGGTATCTGAATTCCCCCATGAGAAGTGTCCTCCCTGCCTCTCATGTGCAGCCCTACCTATCCATGGGTAGCACCAGCTTAACTGATGTCCTGAAGAGCATTCCTCACCATGGATAGTCCACCCAAACTGACTGGTGAGACGCTGATTGTCCATCACATTCCCCTGGTGCATTGCCAGGTCCCTGATAGACAGTGCTGCTCCGTGAGCAAAAGGACCAACCCCTTCTGCCAGCCAGAGCTCAGCATTACACGGACCTCTGCCCTTCCAGACAGAGACCTTTCACAGACTGACTCCTTGGTGTACAGCAGCTTTCTCCAGACCCCCGAAACCTCATCAGAGGCCTCAGACAACAAAGAAGGCAAAGTGAGGGATTTGATTGTCCCTAGTGTCAGTAAGCGACACAACCCTTTCCTGCTGAAGATGACCTGGGTCAAAAATCTTTCCACCTTCACAACTCACTTGTGGCTGGGAAACCTCCCTTTCATCTGCACGAGCTGGCCTTGCCCCCTTTCCACCTCCACGATTCCAACCACATTGTGAAATCCTGGAACATGGCCAGCCGGTCTGGTGTGGTAGATGGGCAAGAGGACAAAATCAGCAGTGATGATGTCCAGAAGAGGAACAATGCAAACCAGTGCCACCAGGCCTCAGAACACATGGAGATGGATGAATGCAGCTGCCATCGCGGCAGTTCCTCCAGCTTCTCCTTCGATGGTGGTGACCAGGAGTGGAACCAGAACACGGGTGAATGTCTGAGGAATCAGGATGCCCTGCACAGCCGGACATGCAGCTGTTCCAGCTCAGAGCTCCAGCACTGTCGCTGCTACAGTTCATCAAGTCAGTCTGAAGTGATTGACCAACAGATGGGCTACATCAGTGACTCTTCCTGCAACAGCTCCGATGGGGTGCTGGTGAACTTCAGTGCTCTCTACAACAAAATGAATGGTCATTCTCGATCTAACCTGAATTCAGCCAACCTGTCCTGTGATTCTTCCTTCTGCAGCCACTCAGACACAGGAGCTTTTTACCTGGATTTGCATTCATCACCCACAGAATCCAAGATGTCTTGCGAGTCGCATCACCCAGAGAGTTCAGGGAAGGTGTGTGGGTGCCAACACTCCTCCTCACCTGTCCTTGATGCTAACTGCAACTCCTACCACCTCCACTGTGAGCCTTGCACTTCAGAGAGCTCAGACCTCACTGCCTGTTTCCAGAGCCAAGCACGGCTCGTCGTGGCTACTCAGAATTATTATAAGTTAGTCACGTGTGACTTGTCTTCCCAGTCATCCCCCAGCCCAGCAGGATCTTCCATAACTAGCTGCTCGGAAGACCATACCAAAGGTAGCCCAGCCCAGCCCACTGAATACTATCTGTTCAGAAGGCCTGACCTGAGACAAGAAGAAAGCAACGTGGAGTGCAGTGAAGAGGAGGCAAAAGGAGAAGCCACCCAGAACATGATTGAGGGTCAGGTCTATGTGAATGTGTCACCACCTAACCTCAACACAAGCCGGCAGCGCTCCAGGAGCTATGATCAGAACCTGGACAGGAGTCCCAGCAGCAGGCTGGGCTCCTTGGAGCGCATGGTGAGCTGTCCAGTCAAGCTGAGTGAAAGTCCGGCAATACCCATACAGAGTTCCCCCCCGAAGCGAGTGACGTCTTTTGCTGAACTGGCTAAAGGCAGGAAAAAGAATGGCACCTCCCCACCACTCCGGTCCAGTGGTGATTCCTCCTTGGAGTTCTCCCCTATCCCCGAGACACAGCGGGATTGCCCAACTTTCCTTGAAGAAAGAGCTCGCCGCAGCCACAGTCTTCCACCCATGCCCTTTGTCCATGGCCTGAACCGGAGCTGCGAGGGCTTCTGTTTAAATCACGCTTTTGGGGACAGCCAGGCTTTGTGTTCCACCAAAGATTCGGTCTCCAGTGAGAAGGTCCCCAGTGGGCATGGGGCAGGTGAGCAAGCCTCTCTCTCCCTGCTGACGGAGGCAGATGCCAGCTTCTCAGGTGGCTCTGCCAGTGGCCACGGACAAAGAGATGTTAGAGCCCGAGCAGACGGTAAGGAGCCAAACTAGGCAGAATGCAGAAGTAAAAAGAAAGGCTGCTCTTTGGGACATGAGGGCAGCAGCAGAGGAACCGGCGTGGCGATGGGAGACCAGTGCCTGTGTGGTTTGTTTCCTGGTCTACCACTCCCTGGGACAAAGCCCTGCTGTGCTTATTTCAGACCCAGATCAGTGCAAGTGTCTTGACCTTGTATTTCTAAAGCCTCTTGAGGTTTTGTGCAAACCTCTCATATTATGTAAGGGAGGACATGGCGTTAGCACTTAGGGACTGTGCACCTTGGAGGATTGTCTCCCGTCCAGGGCATTGTACTCCCCCAGTCCATGAGAATCACCTGCCTTTAGCTCCTAAGACAGAGATTTGAAGATGCTCAGCGGAGTTACGTTTGCAGCAGGCAAAGGGAAGGGAACCACTGAGGAGTTCTTAGCCTTTCTTCTTTGGAGCTACATGGGGCAGAGGTGGAGAGGGAGGAGGCATAGCCAGCAGCCTCCTCTCAGTGCAGGGTCAGGGAGTTCACACAGTCTCTGCTGGGACTTAGAGCATGAGTCCTGCAGAGATTAGAGGAGCTGCAGGTCTCTGCTGGAATATCCTGGCCATATCCTCCACAGTGCATTGGATTGCAGCAAAGGTTCCTCCGGAGGGTAGTTGTCCCAGCTCCCTCTGCAGAAAAGCCTGTAGTACATGAGTTGCTTTCCACCTTGATACTGCCTTTACATGTCCTGCTGAGGAAGCTGTGTGACAGCCCCATCAGAGACCTCTGTCTCTGCCCCTAGACAATGCTTGTACCTGCATCACAGGTAGGAGCCTGTCTAAAATGGGGCTCTGAGCAGACTGCTGTGGTAGATAGCTCCTAACATGCCAAGGACCAGACTGTCTCCATTTAATGCCCTGAAGATTTCTGGCAGGAGACAGGAAGAATATGTCACTCATTGCTGTGGCAGATGTGGGAGAGATTTTGGCCTTCGGAGCAAGAGTTTTTTGTGTGTTGTCGTCTTTGTTTATTGAGCCTTGAACGTGCACTTGGTGCAGGATGGCAGGGAAGGCAGGTCTCTGCTGGGAGTAGGCAGCGTGGGAGCAGCCGCCTTGGTTTGCAGAGGGAGTGCCTGGAAGGAGCAAGAGCTGCTCAGAGGGGAGAGGGCAGACGGGAGCTCTCAGGACAATATATCCCAGCTGCAGTCCCTTGCACCCCCTGCTGCGGTCCCTTCCTCTGCACCGTGACAGCAAGGCAGACGTTAGCACTGTGCAGAAAGCTCCTGCCTGTGGCTGGAGACAGAGGCAGCTGAGAGCAGCATGCAAGCCTAGAGGGTCTGAGAAGGAACTAGAGGGAAAGCAAGCCCTGCTAAAAGCAGGGAGGGAGGCCTGGAACACCCCGCAGGCATCAGGTAACACCAGGGCTCTGTGTGGGATGGGTCCTTTGTCCCAGGATTTGCTGTGGGCCGGAGGAGTTGGGGGGGGACAAGGCAGTAGGTGCCACGCTGCACTGGGATGTGGCGTGGCTGGTGATCAGGGATCCCAGTCAGTTCCGTGTGTGCACACAGTGCTGTGTGTGTTGTGCACTGTGCGCACAGCGTGTCACGCTTCAGCTGTGTCCCTCGGGATATTGGGTCTCCACAAGGAGCTGCAGGCCCGCATAGGAGATCAGCCCAGCACACTCCCTTAGGACATCCCTGTTGATCATTTGATGGAGCAGACCTGACTTTTCCAGGGTTGGAAGCTCTCCTAATTCTGCTGTGGTCCTGATTTGGTTGGGAATGTCCTGCTTGGATCTGCTACGGGCAGGAGGCGGAAGGAAGCTGTGTGCTCAGAGGGGGAACAGTTACAGGAGGGAGGGAGAAGGGGAAGCAAGCAGCCTTTCTGACAGCACTGAGTGTGATGTGGGATGCAGAGCTGCGGAGGCAGGTTGAGGGCAGGTGCTTGGGGCCATGACTTGTGCTGTCCTGGGTGCAAGTGGTGGGGAAAATATGGGAAGTTGGTGACCCTACCAGGAGAGAGAAGCCCCCAGTGCAGTGCCCTACACATTCTGTCAACAGCTGGAAGTTCTGCATTTGGGGCCACGTGTCTTTACCCTGCCAGCTCATGATGTGTGTAACTGGTTCGGACTTGAACCACTCTGCGTGTGTCACTGGCCTCTAGCTCATCCTCTTCCTCCTGCAGCTGAGAGCACGTTCCCTTTTGCCTGCGATCTGGCGGGCTGATGATGACTGTCCCTCTGCCCATCCTCACACCCTGTCCCCCTTTCTCTTCCCTAAGGTGGTGGCACAGACAGCAAGCCTGTGGTACGCTACAGCAAGGACCAGCGTCCCACAACTCTGCCCATCCAGCCCTTTGTTTTCCAGCACCATTTCAGCAAGCCACCCAAGGCCCGTGCTCTGCACAGCCATTTTGCCTCCAGCCTTTCCCAACTCTACAGCTTGTCCAGCAACCGGCCTGCCAGCCATCAGATCTCCTCCAATTCTCAGTCCTCAGCCTCAGCCACCTCAGCAGAGCAGTCAGCGGCAGTGGGGAGCCAAGCCCACAGCACGCTCCTGACCCAACGCTCGGTGGACGGAGCTGCCTCCCGCAATGATGGCTGCATTAGGAAGCCTGCCCCTGAGACAACTCGGCCATCCCCCCTGGGGAGTTACTCTCCTGTGCGATGCAACGTGCCTTTCTTTCAAAGCGTGGACTCCTCTTCCTCGCCCACGACGGAGAGGGCTGGAGAGAGCCAGCCCCCCAGGAGCAGGTCCTGCCCCATCTCCGCCAGCCTGCTTTCCACGAAGTCTTCCCCTGCTATCAGTGCCATGCAGCCCTCCCAAGCCACCAAAGCTGATGCCCTGAGGCAAAAGGAGAACTCCAAGCCAGTTCCCAAGAAAGAGGCACCGCTGGAGCCAAGCCCACCACTCTCCGAGTACCGACTCCACAGTGGGTGCCTCCCGCCCCTCACGGGCGGCATGCCCATGAGCAGAGTGGGAGGCCACGCAGATCCCCACTGGAGAAGTGGCAGTGAGACCAGCAGCTCTGGTCCCCTGAGCAGCATGGGAGTACGGCCCCTCAATGGTAGGTACCCATCCACCAGGACGTGCTAGTCTGGAACATCTCCAGCTCCCTGTGGTAGTACCACCCTTTTATAGCCACAGCCTGGGGCAAAACTGCATCTGGGTGCTGCAGCACCCAGCAGCCCCTATCACCACTCTGCCTGCAAAAGAAAGTCCTATGCTAAGAGCAAGTCCCTCCAGTCCCGACTCCTACACTGTGTCTCTGGAGAGGGCAGCGTGGGGCTGCTGATCTTAGAGCACCCCACTCCAGGTGCTTGCACCCCAAACCTGCTCCCTCTGTGCCTGCAGCCATGAGGCCGCTCAGATCCTGCCCTGCTCTGCCAGGTCGTGGCCTCCGCCTCCCTCCATGTATGTGTGCTAACGTCCTGAAACGCTGCTGGACTTGTAACTAATGTGCTGTCTCTCTTTCTCTGTCCTTCCTCTTTCTCATCCTCTCTCTCCCCATTTCCCCTCCATGTCCACCCGTCTGTTTGTGTCCTCCCATCTGGTGCTCACTGCCTGCGACGTCCTAGCGAATCACCTCTCCCCCCAAGCGCTGAAGTGGCGGGAGTACAGGCGGAGGAACCCCCTGGGTCTGGACCGCGTTTCGGGGCTGCCTGGCTTAGCAGGCAGCCTAGACAGGAGGCAGCAAGAGCCTCGGCTGAACCGGGGGAACCCCATCTTTGAGCTCCCTGGCACTCTCAACAGCAGCCATTTCCACTGCAAGCTGAACGGTGCGCACCACCTTTCTGCTGGGGAGGTCTTGGGGGGTGACCTTGGGGCTCAGGTTCAGTATCCCTTGGGGCTCAGGTTCAGTATCCCTTGGGGCTCGGGTTTAGCCTGGCCTCATCACTGTTCTGCCTGCTCTGAGAAGGAGGGATGATGCATCTGCTCGCAGTGGGACCAAGGGGTACAAGAGGAAGGTGAAAATGTCCTCACTGATGGGCGCAATCTGTGTGGAGCCTCCCTCCTTCTCCACAAGCCGAGAGCAGTCAGGTCTGGCTCTGGACTGGATTGAAGGGGAAAGTGAATGGCCCAAGAGCCTGTTCAGACCTCAGCGAGTGCTCCTGGACTGTGTCCAGCTTGCAGTTCTTGTCTCATTCAGGAGTTGTAGTCCTTGAAGATCTCGTGTCTGTGCCCCACAGTGTCTGCCTATCTGCCCCAACCCTGGCAGCATGCTAGGTGCTGGGCTGTAGCTCTCATGGTGCAGCTGGCCACACTGTAGAGCTCCATGGGGCTCTGTCTTCTCCATGCTTTGCCCTTACGGTCTTCCCTATCCTCCAAAACCTGTGCAGGAAGGGCACAGAGGGTCAGGCTGCTTTTGGCTGAACCTTTGAGAGTCCTCCGGGAGGAGCAGAGGCATCTGTCTGTGGGAGGGAGAGCATTCTTGAGGCCACCCCCGAGTCAGGGAGGGAATTCCCCAAAGCTCTACACTTCACTCTGCCAACCCAAACAGTTTCTCCATCCCTCCTTTATGGGAAGATGCCTAGTGTAACAGAGCTAAGGAATCAACCAGATGGAAATTGAGCACGAGAGAGCTCCTGGAGAAGTCACCCCTTGAAAATAGAGACCATTCCTGGGGACAGGCAGAAGACATGTAGTTTGTTGCCTGTGCATGCCTGTGTGTAACAAGTAGGAATTCTCTCTCTGCTCTACTTTTGACCCCACTTGCTGGGGCTATCCGCACAGCAGCCCCAAGAGTCTGGTGCAGCAAGGTTTCTCTTAGCCAGAGAGAATGAAACCAGCCCATGAAAATGAACCTCCCATAGCATCTTCCAGTCAAGCTGGAGCTAGATATTGGGTGGACTGTGGGGTTGAACTGTACAGGCTCACGTTGCAAATCATTGCTGGGAGAATAACAAGCCTGTAGCTTTGTTGTCCCGGTCTTGGACAGGCTGGTGTGAAGACTGCTGCTGGTGCAGGTTGCATCTGGGAAAAGCAAACAATGTGGGAGAGGCTTTGGTATAAGGACTTGGGCCTGATCCTTCTCTGCCTGTCTTGGCCCTGCAGGACAATCTATGAGGCAACTCCAGCTTACCTACACTGACTTCTTCCCTGACTACTTCTCACTAGCAGAGAAACCCCCCGCTGAGTTCTGCCTCTCCCCAGATGGCAACACAGAGTCTATCTCCATCGACTTGCTGCAGAAGAAGGGTAAGTCTGTGCATCTCTCATGGATGAGAGTGTGGTGTGGCACAGCATAAGGTGAAGAGTGCTTTTCTCTGTCTCATGTCATCTCTGTACACATAATGGTTTCTTTCCCTGCCATTCTCTACTGTAGCATCATAACTACGTGTCCCCCTGGACTGATGGCTGTTTCCATGGAGGGTTCTTGTGTTCTCTGCACCATGCAATGTGCCACGGAGTATGTTTGAGCTGCTTGTCTCAGGAAGTATGATTAGAAAGGATCTTAAGTCCACCAGAAAGGGCAGAGAGAGCAGGCAGGCACAGGAGTATGACCCTAAGGCAGGACGTGCTGCCACTCCTTTCTCAGTATACAAGGGCAGACCTGGGAAGCCTGAGATTTTTTAATTTAGGTAAAAGGTCTGTTGGGTCCTACATGGTACAGTGTTCATGTAAAAGGGTGGGAGAAAGGATTCCAAAGCAGGACAAGATATGGTTGTGATGAGATCCATGCTAGAGGCAGGCTTGGGGACTGCGTTGTTGACAGCTACCTCGGTCTCATGTCAGAGACAAGGGCTGTGCAGAAAGGTTCCCGTGCCTTTCCCAGCTGTGTATTGGTGATTACCAGATGGCAGCCTTCCCCTCTATGCCACTTCTCTTCTTGCATCATACTGTTGCACATGTCAGATTACCCACCACTGGCTCTGGCTTGTTACTGAAAGTCATTACATAGCTTGCCAAGCGCATGGCTTCTGCCCTGCTGCCCTGAAGGATCAAAGCAGCAAAACACTCCTTGCCCCATATCCCATCTCTGCTCCCTCAAGGGGTGGTGTGTGGAGGTGATGTTCCATGTCCCTTGGGAACATTGACAGGGTGTCTTATACTTCAGCCAATTCTAAAGGTTGTCCTACTATCAGGCTGATACATCAATGTTGGAACCAACAGGAACAGATTTGGTGAGGAGTTAGGAAGGACTGCATTTTTTTGGCATATGCACTGACACGGGCTTCTTCATGAAGTGTTTGGTCAGGGTCTGTCCTAGAAGCCCCTCAGGCAGCTCTCTGACTCGTTCTTTCCCTCTAGGTCTGGTGAAGGCAATCAACACTGCTGTTGACCTGATTGTGGCTCACTTTGGAACCAGCCGGGATCCAGGGGTGAAGGTACATCTTGCTTTCAGTATGGCTTCTCAACGTAATTCATGACATAGAGAGGATGGAGAAAGATTGCCTCGCCATTCTCTTCCAGTCAAAAACTATAGGGTATCCAGTGAAGGTACTAGTACCAAGAACAAACCAAACAAAGGCGGTGGTACGCCATGCAGCAGATAGTAAATATGTGACAATTGCTGCGTGATGCTGGAGGTGCTAAAAGAGCATGTGAATTTAAGCATAGATCAGAAAAACACAGGAAAGAGAAATTCATTGAGGTCTACTAAACACATAGGAATAATGTCCAGCTTAGGTGGTCTCTGAGTTGGAAGTAGTTGTAGGCTGCAAGAGCATTAAGGGCAAGTATTATATATGTTTGCTTTGACTCTTTCTTATGTACTTACCCATGGTTCTGTATAAGAGAGAATACCAGGCCAGCTGGACTTCTGGTCTGATGCACTACATCAGCTCTTTTTTCTCATACAGTGGAGAGTTGTATATCCCTCCTCCACACGTCCTGTGATTCTGTTCTGGCACTGGTGCCAGGACACAGTGCAGTGTGCCCAGTCCCTCGATGTGTCACAGGGCTCCATAATGATAAAAAAATCATTGCCCATCTGGGGCTTCCACTGTAGCCCTTGCCATGAACCCACTAGCTTCAGAGTGCATCTAGGTTGCCCATGGGGCTGGCCGTCGTTGGCCTGTGCTCCCCTCATCTCCCATTTCTGGAATTACAGAGAAGCAAAGCAAGCTCGCTTCTGTTTGTACCAGCCAGTGTTTGCAGTCCTGTGACATTCAGCATCTTTGTGGTGCCTCCTCTCAAAGCTGAATGCTCTGCTTCAGTCAGGGGACTCTATTTGGACATGACAACTGCCCTGGAGTGCCATCCCCAAGGAGAAACCTGACTGGGACAGATTCCAAGCCCATTCAGTCTTCTCGCAGAGCCCAGAGTAATTTGCCCCTAATTACAATTGTGGATGCAGAGATTGTTGTGCAGCGTATCCGGAGCTGTTGGGATTCCCACAGCTTTTAAGGCTTCACTGTGAATTTCTGATTCTTGCAAAGTTGGTTTGGGGAATAAGAGCAACATTCCCCCATTACTTTACAGGCCAGACAGTGCTCTGGTTTTGACCTGGGGTTTCATTATATGTCAGTGTGCCACAGGCTGAGCATTCACCTATCAAAAGGGCAGCACCCATCCCTGATGCTTCCACGCTCAATGGATCTGGCGGGATTATTCCTGACCCAGAAGTTCAGTCTCAGTTCAGGGCCTTTGTGGACCTGTGCCAACTGGCCAGTATAATTCCAGCTCAGATGGTAAATTCTGTGCCGTGAACACAGCTGCCTGGGACGACCAATATGATGTGCAAGGCCTGGGGCTGACCACTTTGCAGGGGGCTCAGCAGCTCAAGGACTATATACTGCAGAATATGACCCCACTGTGCTGATGCTGGGCTCTTACGTACTTCCTCACCTTAACCTGAGCTCTGTCCATCCATTTTGCCCTCACCCTGTTTATTTATAGTAATCCCTAGGAATTATAGCTTGGCATGTCACTGAGTTAAGTGTTCCTTAACCCCTCGGTGTTGTTAGTTCCTATGTGGCTTGCTGCTTCCTGCTTCAAAACTAGCAACAAGAAAACTACAGCAGCAGAAAAATCCCCTATTCTTTTCTTCCTCCAGCAGGACAGCCTTGTTATACCTGTACGGAAAACCAAGCATCCCTTCTAACTGGGGTATCCTCTTGCCAAGCTGGAATATTCTCTTCCCAAGCTGTTGCCTGATCCCAGCCTGGGGCAGACTTTGCAGGGAGCAACCCAGAACTGGTATATGAGGCAGCAGGGGTGAAGGGAAGGAGCCTGCCTGTTCAAGGAGCTGCTGAGCATCATCATAGCCTGGATATTGCGTGCAGGGTGTCTGTAGTAGGCAAGTGAGGCTGGACTGTTCACATGCATCTATACCTTGTGGAGCAGTTACCAACCCTCTCCCTGTTGCCTGTTCTCCCTTAGGCCAAACTTGGGAACAGCTCCGTGAGCCCCAACGTGGGGCATCTCATCCTGAAATACCTGTGTCCTGCTGTCCGGGACATTCTGAGTGACGGGCTCAAAGCTTACGTCCTGGACATGATCATTGGCCAGAGGAGGAACATCCCCTGGAGCGTGGTGGAGGCATCCACCCAGCTAGGTATGGAGGGTGTGCAGCGATGCCCATCGCTCTGCGGTACTCCTGTGTTGTGTCTGGGAGGTGCTGGGGAAGGTTGGCTATAAGGATGGGGATACAGAATAATACCCATCTCCCTGCAGAGAACAGGGTGCACCTTGACCTTCTCTTGCAAGACAGGAGAGCCACTGTTCTGTTCTGCCCAAATATTTATTGTCATTTCCCCTGAAATTTCCAAATTCTCCTATAACAGGCCTTAGCAATAAAAAAAAAGAAAAAAACAAAAAGAATGCCCTTTTCCTCCCACTAAGTTTCCAGGGTGTTTCTAGACCTTCGTCTTTAGCCATGCACAGCTACTTTATAAGGCAGAGCTGTGCTCTTTCCTGTCTGTAAGAAAATTTGCACACACAGCTCACTTGGCTCAAGCATGCCCACAACACCTACACCCTCTGCTAGTACCAGTCTGCACCCTGGATTGTGGCAGTGGCTACCATCCAGGAGAACTCCTTTCTGAGGTAACAGATGGCAGGGCCACACTGATTTCTGCATCATGAAGAGCTTACATCCAGGGCTGGGAAGCCTTCTAGCCTGTTTTTGGCAAATCTCCAGCTCTGGGGTTACCTCTGTGATTGCAGACACCTCAAATTATAACCACCCACCACAATATTCTGTTCACCTGCTGATTTTGAGCCAAGGGCTGTGATTGTCCTTGAAGTGTGGGAGGCAGATCCTTGCGGTATTGAAACTCTCCCAAAGTTTTGGAGTGGCAATCTGGGACAGACCACAACCCATCTCCTTTGTGGAGTCTAGCTGTTGGGATGGAGTGAGATCATCTTGGTGTTTGGTGGAGGGGCAATGCACATACAGGTATGGGCACCCAGCCAGTGTCTGTCTTTGCCTTGATGCTCCTTCCCGTGATGTGGTTTTGGCTTTGCTGACCACAACTGATCTCAACATTTTGCTTCTCTCCATAGGCCCCTCTACCAAGTTGCTGCACAACCTCTATAGCAAGATCAGCCAGTACACGGAGCTCACCAACCACACCATGAGGTTCAACGCATTCATCTTTGGCCTCCTCAAGTAAGCAGGCTCCCTGGGCTGGCTGCATGTCACTGTCCAGGGCTGGCAGCAGGTGCTGGTCCTTGACTGCAGGCAGGCACGGTTGTCAATGAAAAGACTTAAGAAACCTGGGAAGCCTCTCCCCAGCTCTAGGTGAGGGAAGGAAGAAGCTGTGAGCCTCAGGGAACTCCAGAAGGATCAAACCTACCCTACCAGGCCAGGACTAAGAAGGGGTGGCTGTAGCCCACTGAAGAACATTGTCAGCTTGTTTTAGCCCCAAAACATTAGGTGGTAAGAGTCTGTCTGTCAGGATTTATGCAGGGTTAGACGTAACATATGCAGAAATTACTCCTGGAAATCCCTGCTTAAATCACGGCTTCCTGGAGCTTCAGTGAATCCCAGTGCATGAGGTTCTGAAGGAGAAGGTTCAGGACTCAAGGCTGGCCCTTCCAGGTTGGATAAGGAGTGTGCACGCTACACTCAGTGTTAAACAGAAGAAAGCAGCATTGTCTCTTTGCTGGTCAGCAAGAGCTCTGGCAGAGGCAAGAGAGTCCCCAAGATCTTCAAACACTGGGGGACTCTTACAAGCAGGAGCAAGCTCTGCCCTGCTCTCCCCACCCAGAGCAGCCCAGCTCTCCCCTGCTGGCACAGGATACCAGCATGTTTTGGGCCAAGCCTGCAGCAATGGTCTTACATATGTAGATGATTTGCCTCTTCCATGAGAGCCCTTCTCAGCAAAGCTAAGCTCTGCCAAGGACATAGGAGCCAAATGGTGAGGAAACTTGCTGGAAACATGGTTGTTTGGGGTTATGGTTGCACAATGCCTCATGTAAAGCAAACTGGATGGCTCCATGATAGGCTGGGGGAGTGAGTGTCCTTTCATTAGGTCTTGAGGTTCAGAGGTTCATGCTGTGTAAATGCCCTTTTCCAGCCACACTTCTTTTTGTAGAACAGCAAGTATGAAGGGGGTGAATCAATTTTCACTCTTTCTTTCCCTGCTTGCTTTCCCTTCCTGCAGTATCCGGTCCTTGGAGTTCTGGTTCAACCACCTCTACAACCATGAAGGTAAGAGCCTGTGGGCTGTGGGCTGCAGGGGGGGCCAAATTCTGCACAATGTAGAGCATGGGAGGGACATTTCTCTTGTTGGTCTCTCAGCCTAGGCTACTCCTCTCTGCTCTGAGCTGAAGGACTAGACTATACACAGTCCCAGTGTACCAGGGAAGTCACAGGTGGAAGTCAAAGCTCCATGGAAAGGAAAACCTTCTGTCAAACAATGGATGTATCTGTTTTTTCAACTAGAAATGTTTCTAGAGTGTGTAGATAACCCAGCAGCACAACCAAGCTGCCTGATGCCTAGAAGCACCATGACTAAGTGCTAAGTGCACAGTGAGACAGACACCCTCGACCTGCTGGATCCCCTGAGAGTGCTGCTGGCTCAGCCTGTGCCCAGCACAGGGCCCCATGCACTGCAAGAAGTCCAGCCCAGTATCTTCTGGCAGGTTTGGGGGCTGACAGCAGGCATTTCCCAGGTCTGCACGTGCAGTCAGCAGTTCTCTCTGGAGCAGACAGGGGAGTAGACTTGCCTTTGTGCCGAGCAGTGTGGCACGAGAAAGCACCCTGGTTTTCTGGAGCAGAAGAAGACCATCTATTTCAAGCCATCATTAAGAGCTGGAAGTGTGAGCAATAGCTAGGGCTGTTAGGATGATGAAGGCTAGGCGAAAGGGTTGGAGATAAGGTGCAGGTCCTGTCTGTGGTGTAAGTTTGTTATGTCACTGGGGCCAAACAGCCACAAATCCTGTTCCCAACTCTTACCCTGGGAGTGAGACCTGACAACAAAGCTGGTGGGGGGGCACTGCAGATGTGGCCAAATGAAGTGAAGGATGAATGCTGCAGGTAGAAATGCTAGTCCATTCTCTGTTAGGATCCACAGTTCAGCCCAACCAGGTCCCTGGAAAGACTGTATTCAGCTGTCCCCGAAACCTCTTTCTGCAGGGGACTTGTACTGGCCAGACCTGCAGCTCCTTGTTCATCTCCAGGAGGTGGGGAAGAGAATTTTAAGATATGCCAACCCTTTGATGCTCTTTATTTGCACCCTACTCCCATGGTGCTCTGTGGCAGAGGTCATCCTGGTAGATAGTCTGACAGGCAGGTCCTGGCTGCAGGCACGACTGGAAGCAGGACCTGGGCCAGTTTGCCCAGAGCATTTGGTGCTCCCTGACCCAGTGCTGAGCCTCACACTGCAGCCACAGCTGTGACCAAAACTAGTGTCCAGCTCCTTTCCCCATAGCTTCAGCAGCTTCTTGGTGGCTTGGCAAAGGAGGCAGGGGCTTCTCTTCTAATTAATGTTCTCGTGTTACAGATATCATCCTGGCGCACTACCAGCCAGTGGGCTTCTTGTGCCTGTCTCACAGCGTGTGCCAGCCTCTTTTTGAGGAGCTCCTGCTCCTGCTCCAGCCTCTCTCCCTGCTGCCCTTCAACCTAGACCTCCTTTTTGAGCACCACCTGATGCAGATGGGCAAAGAGCAGCAGCAGCAAAAGGAGCTGCTGCGTGTGAAGCAGGACCTGCTGCTTTCTGCACACTCCACCCTGCAGCTGATGCGGACGCGGGGTAGCAGTGAGGATCCCGACGGCTGCAGCAGTGCCCCTGAAGCATGCAAAGTGGGTGCCAGAGATGGTGACATCTCACCAGGCCACAGCCCCCAGGAGGCTGCGAGTGAGAGGGTCAAGGGGGTGGGGGCCTCCTCCGGAGATGGTGACAGAGAGGAAGAGCAGAGGAAGATGGGAGAGAGCACGTGGGAGGGGAAGAAGGACAAGCAGGCAGGCTGGTGGTACCAGCTCATGCAGAGCTCTCAGATTTACATTGAGGGCTCAGCTGAAGGCTCAAAGTTCATCCACTATGAGAAGAAGAAGAAGGCTTTGAATACTGTGCCCAGGTCAGCGGAGACCCGCAAGGCACCACCCCCCCGGGAAGGGGTGGTGGAGGGTGCAGAGGCTTGCCCCATTGCTGAGGGGACCTTAGAGGAGAGGCCCAAGGCTGCCAGCAAGCCAATTACTAAAGCTGTGGAAGAGCCCTCGGAAAAGCCCCAGCAGGTACCGGTTGGCGAAGAGGTGAAGGAACGGAGCTGGCCCTTCTGGATGGGCAGCCCCCCGGACTCAGTGCTTACAGAGCTGAAGTGCAGCAAGGAGAAGGAGACTGGGACTTGGCAAAGAGTGGGAGCAGCAGCAGCAGCCCCCCAAGAGGAGAGCAGCACCAGTGCATCAGAGGGCAGCCAGCCCATCAAGTGGGGACACTTGTTTGGGTCCAGGAAGGTGCAAAAAGAGCCCAGGCAGCCTAACAGGTAAGGGCAGGGATGGTTTGGGGCTTGGGAGGGCTGGTTAACCTAGGGTTGCGGCAGTGCAGGTGGAAATCAGGCAAATAGCCGACCACTGGGCTACACCACGGTGGTACACCAGAGGCAGTGTGTGAACGGAGAGGTCTGTCACTCCTGCCCAGCCCTGCCTGCCTGCCAGCCTGCCTTAATTCCTCCCACACCACTGTTCCCCTCGGCTCCTACCTTGCTGAATCCACCTCACGGGCTTTCCTCTTCTGCCTGAGCTCTACCACTGCCTCGGCTCCTAAGCCCCCTCTCCTGGGGAGGGGCCCCTGCTGCATGGCCCTCATCATCACCTCATCCCTCCCAAAAACACGTAGCCAGAACAGAACATGGAGCCATCCCTGTTGCACACAACGAGGGAGCAGGAGTTGTGAAGTTGCCCCGTGTAGCTGAGACCTCCTCGCACTGCCTCTCCATCTATACCCTTACTGCTTCTGTGGCCACTGGAAATGTCCTTCCCAGTCTAGGGCACGATGTGTCTGGAGGATGCTGAGCCCTTCCCGCCTGGAGACAGCCTGGGGATCGCGGTGCACTTTGTGCATGGAACCAGACCTCTAAGGCATGGTCTTGCCATGACAGCAGCTGCTTCTTGCCTTCAGGTACGCTGCCCTGCCACTACCTGCTTCTGTCTCCTTCTTGCAGGTTGCCCTCCGGCTGGCTGAGCTTGGACAAGTCCGTGTTCCAGCTGGTGGCCCAGACGGTTGGGGCAAGCATGTGGCGAGAAGCAGCCCCTGAGCCGGAGCCCCCCCGACCAGAGCCACCTGAAGTGTCCCCTGCGGCACGGCCGGCCCAGGGGTTGTCTCCCCACCCTCCCTGGTGAGTGGCACCATGTGGCCGTCCTGCAGGTGCTGGGAGGTGGTGGGCTGGGGTTGGCGTGCCTCTGCCTGTTGCAGTTTGCCTGGTCCTCTTTGTACTCATGGACCAGGGGACGGTTCGGGGCAGTGATGCAGCTTGTGCATCCATCCACCCCTCTCTGCAGTCTGCAGGCGAGGGGCAGTTGGGGGCAGCGGGGAGCCTGGCTGGGTGGGGAGGCAGGGGATGTTCTCATTGCTCCTCTGTGCGGGTGGTCCTCTCCCAGGTGGTCCCTGGGCTTCAGCAGGGTGAGTGTCCTGTGGCAAGCTAACCCTTCCTCCCCTCGCTCTGCCTGCAGTGAGGTGAAAGCTCTTTGCCATCACATTGCCACCGAGGCAGGACAGCTGAGCTTCAACAAGGGGGACGTCCTGCAGGTCATCTCCAAGGTGGATGGTGACTGGCTGCAGTGCAGCCTCGGCTCTGAGAAGGGACTGGTACCCATCATGTACGTCACCCACCCGGAGGACGAGGACTATTGACGTGGCTGGGAGGCCAAGTACAGTACCGTCCTCTGGGGAAGCCCACCCTGCCAGAGGAACAGACACAGCTTCTTGCTAATTTCTTACCTTTCTTGCCATTACAGAATACAGTAACTGTAGGTGGTTCTTCTTGCTCCTCCTCGTGCAGCTGCCAAAGGCCAACTCGGCCCCTGGGGTCTTCTGCGAGCTGCACCTTGTATTGCCAGGCATCACCGTGCATGCAGCCACACCGGGGACTGCCTGAGCCCCCTCCACCCCACACCATCTCCAGCACCCCTAGGCCATGGACTCGTATGTAGCAGGAACCCGAGTAATCCCTGCCAAGGCAGCGCTGCCCTGCTGCCCGGCTGAGTTTCACGCTGGAGGGTGCAGGATGCTGGCCATCCCCTCCCCGGGGGTGGCAGTGCAGTCTGCAGCCTTCAGCATCATCAGCCGCAGGGGTGGGCGCACCGGACATTGGCAAGGTCTCTGCAAGACTGGACCGATGGGTTGCATTGCAGCTTGATGGGAGGCTGCAACGTAGTTTCTCCCACGCTGGAGCAGCCCTGTCCTAACGTGTTACAGTGGTACCTGGTGGGTTGTACTGGGCCAAGTGGTTTGGCACTGCCACGCTGCAGGGCTGGGGCAGTGCCTGGCCACTGCCAGGGGAGAGGGACGGGGTACGTGTATGCGTGTGGAGTGAACGGGTGCGTGGAGTCGTGAGGAAGGCGTGTGGATGTTCAGTGTTACGGAGGTCTGGGATGGGTAGTGCCACTCTCTGTGGAGGTGGGTGCTTTGGGGGGTGGCCTCATGCCCTCCACGCTCAGCAGGGAGCCAGTGCCTGGGAAGCCCTGGGATGCTCACTGGAGGGGGGTTGGAGGGGAGGGGGTGAGGGCAGGGTCCCTGTCTGGTCTAGGGATGTTCTTTGTAGTTGGGGGCAGTGCTCCCGGCAGGCAGATTGGGGGGTGCTCCCAGAGGGAGCCGGGGAGCCAGGGAGGGAGGGGTGGTGCTCCCCTTGGCATAGGGTTTCTGGTCTTGCTGAGCAGTGTTGTGGGGTCAGGGGGGACAAGTGTTGTGCACAAGCACATGAGGCTGCTGGGGGTCCTGGGGTCCTCGGTAGAGGCAGTGCCAGTCAGCCCCTTCCTTGCCATGTTCATGCTGCCTGCTGGGGTGGGGATCTTCACCTGCCCATCAGATGGGGAACAGTGTTAATGAAAGGCCATGCCAGTATTTGGTGCCTTGGGCTGGCTTCCCCATGGCGAGGGGCCCTGGTCTTGCAAGGTTACCTCCTGCTTGTACATCGCTTAGCGGACGTTGCACCATATTTAATTTGTATTTCCCTGTTAGAACGAGGTGTCTCGCCTTTATTTATTTCTTTATTTATGATGCATATTAATAAAAAAGGTGCTGATTGAGCTCCCTGCTACGCAGCCTTGTGATTTCAGCCTGTCCCTGAGAAGGGTCTGAGGGTTATCTGTGCTGGGACACTGCACTGCAGGCTTCGTCCTGCCTCCACCACGGCCAACACCAGACCTTCAGAAGGAGCTAAATTGCCCCCAGCTATCAGACCTGTCAGTTCACACTGGGAGGACCACATCATATCATCGGATGATGGTATGTCTCAGGGAGGCATTGTTCGAGGTTCCTTGTCTTTATTCCTTGTGCAAGCACGTTTCAGACAGGAGTTCACACCATTTCAGTTTGGCATCTGCTTCCCCAGGGTACTCCAGGTGGTGTCAGTAAGGTGTCCACAGGTGCAGGCAAACTGGAACTTGCAACCCGCAGGCAGCAGGAGGAAGTCCTCAGCAGCGCAGGAAGGAGGTGGTGAAGGACAGGTTGTGGGGCTGGGACCCAGAGCTTGGGACAATCTGGCCATGAGGCTCAGAGGCTGTGGGTCACTCACAAGGAAGGGCTCTGGGGCTTTTAAACTTAGACTCACACAAGCATTGGACCTCCAAGTCCAAAAACCCCATCCCTTCCCTTTACACCTCAGTAGCTCCCAGAAGAGAAAAGCCCTGCTTGAGGCTCCAGCGTTGCTGCAAGGACACCACGCTGGAGTTTGTTGCAACCATGTGGACAAATGGTCTGCAGTGGTGGACTGAGTCAAAACACTTGAAAAAAAATCCAGAAATGAAGCAGCATAAGCCCCTGTCCTGGCTTGGAGAGGCACGGAGCAGCCAGAGCTTGCACATGGGCTGCTTTAGTTAACCTCTCAGGGGGGGTGGTCGTCAGAGCTGTTTACAAACTGCATGGAGCCAGGCTGTTCTCCCCACGTGCACGGGCTGGCCCAAATGGGGAAAGGAACCGTGTGCTGGCAAACAGCCCGGCACGGTGCTGAGTCAGCCCTGGGGCAGGAGAGGGGATTTGCAGCTGCCTGTGCTGCTGGCACTGACACGGAGCGGCTCGTTGGGTGCTTGCTGCCGGGGCAGCCCCGGGTGCAGGGGAGGCATAGTAGGGTGGTTAGGGTATCAGAGGCTGGATTTGGGGTTGCTGCTGCAGGGTTTGCAGCTGCTGAAGTTTTCTTCAGGGTCATCTGGCTAAACTCAAGCAGGCTCTGGTTGGTGGTTATCAGATAGCCTGTCCCGATCAGGAACTGGGCACGGGGCACAAAGCCCGTGAAGCCTGCATGGCTGGAAGGCACGCAGCAATGTGTATGGGGCAGTGGC